GCTGAAGGAGGTGGGGCAGGGCTGCCACCACCAGATCCCTGCGGGAAAAACGAAGGAAAAGCCAAATTCTCTGCAGCCGTGGGATTGGGAGTGGGTGTTCCATCCTCCCTCAGCCCACCAGAGCCTGGCCTGGGGTTTGGAGAGCAGGGATTCAGATCCCCGGGATTTGGAGAGCAGGAATTCACATCCCTGGGGTTTGGAGAGCAGGAATTCACATCCTGGGATTTGGAGAGGGGGGATTCACATTCCCAGGATTTGGAGAGCAGGGATTCACATCTATGGGGTTTGGAGAACAGGAATTCACATCTCTGGGGTTTGGGGAGCAGGGATTCAGATTCACATCCCTGGGGTTTGGAGAGCAGGGATTCACATTCCCAGGATTTGGAGAGCAGGGATTCACATCCCTGGGGTTTGGGGAGCAGGGATTCACATCCCTGGGGTTTGGGGAGCAGGGATTCACATCCCTGGGCTTTGGTGGGACAGGTATTGGTATTCCATGGAATGGTTTGGGTGGGAAGGGAACCTTAAATCCCATCCAGTTCCATCCAGGGATGCATCCCACTACCCCAGCGTGCTCCCAGATTCTCCTGGCACACTTCCAGGGATCCAGGGGAAGCCACAGCTTCTCTGGGAATTCCATCCCATCCCCTCCCCACCCTCCCAGCCAGGAATTCCCTCCCAATAGGGGAATCCACATCCCCTTGTCCTGTCACTCCATCCCTTGTCCAGAGTCCCTTTCCCAGCTCTCTTGGAGGTACTGAAAGGCCACAATTAGGCCACCCCGAGGCTTCTCCCGGTTTTTTGGGGGGTTGTTCTCCCCCTCCTGCCCCACCTGTATCCGTCCTGCCGGCTGCACTCGTTCCCGGTCAGGTCGAGGATCCGGAGGCTGCGGGGCAGCTCCTCTGCCGGGATAAAGGGAATGACAGAGCTGGGAGCTGAGCCCCTCCAGCCCAAATTCCTGCTCCCCCCAAACCCCCCCAAACAGCGCTTCCCCTCCCTCCCCAGGCAACTCCCAAAGCAGCGTTTCACCCCCACGCCCGGGGAAACTGAGGCAGGGAGGGTGGGAATGGGAATTCCAGCAATCCTGGATCCGTCCCTGCTCCCCACCTGCGTCCAGAGCCCGGATCTGGTTGTGGGACAGGTCCAGGGCGCTCAGGTGGGGCAGGGCCTGCAGGTTTTCCACCCTCTGGATGCGGTTCCCAGCCAGGCAGAGGAACCTGGAGGGCACAGGGAGGGTGAGGGGGGGGAGATGTCACAGCCCCACTTGGCCCCAAGGGCTGGAATTTGATCCCACATTTTTCCCAGAGAACCCATGGAAATCTTTGGGAGCAGGAGCTGCTGTACCTCAGGCTGGGAAAAGACTCCAAGTTCTCGATCTTCTCAATTTGGTTCTGGGAAATAAAACAGCAAAACCCCAATGTGTTTTTTGTTTGGGTTTTTTTTCTTGCCTGCTGCGTGAAAAATCGCATTTTGGGAACGCTCTGGGATTGCTCCAACCAATGCTGGAGGCAACACGACGTCCCACAGGAGGTTCTGGACAGGGAATGGGGTGGGGGGACATGGAGAGATCCCAAAATTCAGGACCCTGAGCACCCTCAGGTTGGGTTTGGAAACACCGGAATTCCAGTGGGGTCGGCATTGTCTGGGAGGGAACGGGGTGAGACCTCCAGGGTGGGTCTGGGAGGGGGAGAAAATCCTCCTGGACGGAGGAAAACCGTTCCCTTCTGGGTTTTGGGGAGGGAAAACCGGAGCAGAACCGGGGGTGTGACACCTGCTGCAGGTAGAGGCTGTGGATCTCTGCCATCCTCCGGAGTTTCCCGATGCAGGAGATGTTCTCCCGGTCCAAGCGGAGGGTGGAGGTGGGCAGCGGCCCCGTGGGGCTGAAGGAACACACAGTGGGGGGTGTTTTGTGGTGTCCTGAACCCCCCTCCCTGCCAGCCCAGGCTGTGTGGGATCCTCACCAGGTGCGGGTGGTGACGAGGCTGTCGCTCAGGGTCACTCCTGGCCGTGTCCCCTCGGGGGCTGTGGGGATTGCGGGTGAGGGTCCAGGCCAGGGGTGCAGCCCCCCTGTCCCCTCCCAATGTCTCACTCACCCCCACACGGGCTGTCCCCTTGCTCAGCCATGGCCGGGGTGGCCTGGGGGGGGTCCTTGTCCCCTCCTCGGGTGGGGGTCTGAGGGAAAAGAGGGTGAAAAAGCTGCGGATTGGGGGTGTCAGGATTGCAGGGATGGGGGGCAGTGCTGGGACCCCCGCCCCATAATCCAGGGGGATTGTGGCGCTGGAATTGAGGGGAGCAGTGGGAGCGGGAGCGCCGGTGTGGGGATCCCAGAGACCCCCGGGATGGGGAGGGGGGGCACTGGGACCAGGCCTCACTGGATGGGGGGGCTCTTAGAGACCCCTGAGATCGAGCCACGGCAGCTCACCGGGCCGGTACCACGGGTTTGGGGCACAGAGAGCCCCGGAAAGGCCAGGGGGGCTCACCGGGAGCGGTTCCCCGGTTTTGGGGCTCAGTTCCCTCACTTCGGGGGGCTCGGAGGAGCCCAGGCCGCGCCGTTGCTATGGAGACGGGGCGCACCGGAAGTGGCGGGTCCTCCACCTTCCCACAAACCCTTGCGCCAAGATGGCGGCGCTGGGAGGCGGCGGGACGCGATGGCGGCGGGGTGAGAGACCGGGAACGGGAACGGGACAGGAACGGGAACAGGAACGGGAATGGGACGGGAACGGGACTGGGACGGGAACGGGAGAGGGAATGGGAAAGGGGCCTGGAATGGGAACAGGAATGGGAACGGGAGAAGGACAGAGACTGGGATTTGTAACGGGAACGGGGCCTGGAATGGGAACGGGAGACGGACTGAAACAGGAACCGGGATTTGGAACGGGAATGGGAACGGGGCTGGGACAGGAATGGGAACGGGAGAGGGACAGGGACGGAGACAGAGGGCCTGGAATGGGAACAGGAACGGGAACGGGAGAAGGACAGAGACTGGGATCTGGAACGGGAACGGGGCTGGGACGGGAATGGGAACGGGACTGAAACAGGAACCGGGATTTGGAACCGGATTGGGGCTGGGACAGGAATGGGAACGGGAATGGGAACAGGATCGGGACCGGGCCAGGGAACGGGCACAGACCGGGAACGGGAGCGGGTTTGGGGCAGGAACCGGGGCGAGGACTGGGAGCGGGCCCGAGGCAGGGCCGGAGCCGGGAGTCCCGCAGCGCTGGGGAGCGCCCGGTGCCGGTGCCGGTTCTGGTGCCGGTGTCGGTGCCGGTTCCGGTGCCGGTCCCGGTGCCGGTTCTGAGCGCTGCCCCGCAGCCTGGCTGCCCGCCCTGCAGCTGCTGCGGCGCGGCTCCAAGGCGGTGACGCGGCACTGGAAGGCGATGCACCTGCAGCGGCAGAAGCTGCTGGCCCTGACCGAGTTCCTGCCCCCGCGGCCGGGCGGGGCCCCC